AATCTATTTGAAAGAATTGAGGCATGGTACCAATAGGCGATAAAATGAGAGAGACTAGACTTAGGGTTGGCCATGTGTGGCACCGACTAAGTACATCATCTGTTAGGAGGTGCGAGTTAGTTCAAGTGGAAGGACTGAAAAGAGCAAGGGGTAGGCCCAAAGCATGTGGTTGGAAGTAGTCCGAAAAGATATGAGGACTTATGGCCTCACTGAGGATATGGCCTTTAATAGAGTAAAATGGAGAACCAGGAGTCATATAGCCGATCCCAATTAATTGAGAAAAGGTTAAAATGATGATGATGATAGAGAAAAATTTGAAGAGCTTAGGGAGAGGGAGTATAGAACTGCGTCTATAACTGTCATTTTGTATTTACCATTTTTTAGTATGAGCACATGCTATTTTGCACCAAAACCATGAATGGTTTTAACACTGTCATTTCAGTGGAATGTCTTGAACAGAGACCGTTAGAATTTCTTTTATAAAGTGCACAATTTGCGGGCTCTACTTCTACTCTGGTGGTTTGGAACTCTAAGCCTTGTGTTGTGTATTTCAATTGCAATCCTATTCCTACTATTTTAATTAATTACAAATAGAGACATTAACGAGCTCAAAAATTAGACATCTTTTACTTAGCGGCAATAAACTCTCTGCTCTATAATTGAATTTCTATACTGGAATAATTTTTCGTTATCATTCATTCATTGCTCTGATGGATCATTGAGAAAAAGGAAGCAAATCAAATTAGAAATTTGATTCCTAAATAACATTGCATAGTCATGTATCCTCCCTCATGTTGTTGAGTTCTTATTGTTCTTTTAACATTCAGGATTTCCATTCTGTCTCCTTCTTTCCCCTGGATTTCTATGGCTTCTATGATGGTTCATCAGACCATTATGTGTTTTGTCTATCTTTTGGTAATGTAAATGATTACAATTATCATTTGTTCATGCCTGGGGAAGGCATTGTTATGTAACTTATGTGCTTTATGCCCATAAAATGTGGGCAACTCTGTAAGATAGCAATCTCAATCAGTTAGGGTTTTGTCGTGGAAAATGGCCAATAGGACTTCATCTGCTATGCTTTAGATGTGTGATTGTGCTTCAGTAAAATAGTTGAATGTGATTTTAAAATTTAGGCAACAATGTATAGGGATAGATCTTAGTGAAGACTGTTGTTTATCACAGTAAACCCATAGATTCTTTTCTTAATCCCTAAATTCCTTTTGACTTGGATCTACACTTCAATAATTTCTTACAAGTTGCTTCCCAAGAGTAACGTGCAAATGATGGGAAAAGAATCTAGCTTATATCCTCTTTTTGTTTTTTTGGTTAATTCAATGGGAAAGGGTTCTCCATCCTGTGGTTGGACTGGAACTCAAGACATCACGTTGTGACGCCTTGCCACCCTGACCACCTGGTCTTGAGCCCAATCCTAACTAGATTATATCTTTCTGATGCAATAGTTTTTTTAAGAGTAGAGGAAAACTAGATATGCTGACATTATTATTTTGTTGTTGTGAAGGAATGATGCATCTGATGGACCATGAGAAAGTAAACCAGGATCTAGCGAAGTTACTGGAAACAGAGGGCCTAGATGTTCAATTGAGCTATGATGGCCTTAGGATACCAGTGAACCTCGAGGGTTTTGGATCACGGTGTAAACCATTATCTGCAAAAGAATTTATATGAATCATGATTCAGGTAAGTAGCCAGAAGCTCAACAACGAGCCTAAACTACCTCCAAATTTTGTAAAATTGCCTTTTCAACCATTCAATTGTAATATGAATTTTGTCTCTCCATTCGAGGCATTGAATGGTGGCTCATGAACCCAAATGGCTAACATTTCTTGACAATTGGTATAAAGATGAGGAGATACACTGACATGAGGCCCTGATGAGAAATATTAAGAGTTGTCAACTTTTGGCATGGAAAGGTTTGCTTTATATGTTTCAAATGAAATTCTCTAATCCATTTTTTCATACATTTATTACCCTACTTTGATATCAGAAACTTGCTACACTAGGCTTTCATCATCAGGAAGTTCACTTTTTGAAAATTGTCTTGTAAAGGCTTCTGTGATTGTTCAAACTTCCTGCAGCTCAGAAAATCCTTCATTAAGTTCAAGGGAAAAAGAATGTTTGCAAACAAGTTGATTTGAGGACGATTATTTGTTGAGATTGATCCATCAAAATTTTCAACAGTAGGTTAAAGCAGGTGAATGTGAATATATGGAACTACGCTCACCAATCTCTGCATGACATCCCCACTCCACAATTTCCTCTGGGCCACTGTGCCAACTGTAGGGGTGGGTGCATAAAGTAGGCCCACAAACAGAACAGGGAAAACTTGTCATATCACATAATTGGAAAATGTTTTGAGAGGTTTAAAAACCTCATCAAAAACTGCAAATCTGGCATCGGCAAACCTTCAAATCAATCATCTAGACATTGATCACTGTGTTTGTAAAAAGAAATTAAGATTTCAAGCTTTAAAAGTAGTGTATATTATAATACCTTATCTAGGCCGTTCATTTTGCCTTAAAAATAAATGTTCATAGATCCACATGATTCGTACCATTTATTGACTTTCAAATTTAATAACGAGTGTTGGAAATTGATTTTTAGAGCTTTCATGGAGACTTCCGATGCCCAAAGGGCTTTTCGAACGAGGACTCGTGGTGAGGCTTGACTTTGTTTTCATTATGCCTAGGCCTTATAGAAAGTGCAACCCCCACATAATTTGAGCATATTTGTGATTTGATGAGTTGCAAAATTCACAATGACGTGAAATTTGATGGGCTATTGGCGCGTCATCAAAAAGTGGTATGGCATTAAAGATAAGAAAATTTTTATACAAGGTGTCAACCTTATACAAGTGAGGTGTACGTTAAGAATCCTATTCAAGAGAGGAAAATCCTCCGATTTAATCATTTCTGCCTCAACATGTATAGATAAGAAAGAAAGAATTTTAAGTACTAAAATTGTACATATTGTAACAAATTATCTGAAGTGTCTCTTTTCAAAATTTTCAAGTGTTTGTAGGTCTGTTTATGTACCATTCATTGAATTTGAAATTTTGTAACTAGCAATAAAAATAGATTTTCAATCTATCATAAGTTGTTAGACACCAAAACCAAAACTACATCTCCACAAAATTTAGAGGTGTGGCTTACTTGGAGGGCACCTTATACAAACGCCGCCATTTAAAATTAGATCGAAAATATTATGGGATGAGATGTTAAATAGTTCAATTCATAGTACTATAGTAAAATACCTACCATAGGACTCATTTTCAATGAGGGGAAATTGGAATTTCTTCCTTTGGGGTTCGTGTCTTAAGACCGAAGTCCTTTTGTCTTCTCTCTCCGCGTTTAGAGTCGTTGTCAACAACTTTGGTTCCGTTGGTACATACGACTCAGCTTCAATGAGGAGGGAAAATTGGATTTTTTTTTTCTTTTTTCCTATGGGGTTGGAGTCCTAAGAGATGTTGTAGAGTCGAAAGTGCTCCCCATTTCATCTCTCCGCGTTGAGAGTTGTCAATAACTGTAGATCCATCAATAATAGAAGGATCCTTAGTCCCCTCACATCAATCCAAAGAAAAATGAAAATAACAGTAAAAAGCAGTAAAATGTTTGTTTGGTCAATTGTGATGCTAAAACCCAACTTGTGCACTCCAATTGAATATCATTTGATTTGAGATGCCGCGGAAAAATCAATTGATTCCATAAGTACTTGAACCCATGAGCAAGGAGCACGGGCTTGGTGAAGAGAGGGTAGAGGGTAAGATTTAGGGCTAGTAATGGGTCGGGTAGCTTGACCCAGCCTGATCAGCCAGACCATAAAAAAAAGTAGGGCTTAGGCCACAAATTGTATCCTGAGGGCCAATACTAGTCTGGTTTTCGCCCAGCACAACCCTTTTTTTTTTTTCTTTTTTTTAAAAATTATTTGTTTTCATTTGTTTTTGCTCTGGCATAGCACGACACTATGGGGCTATGGGCAGACCAGGGCCAAGGCCAAGGCTGGCTGGACCCAGGTCTGGCCCATTGACAGCCTTTGGCAGATTACTAGTGTTGGATCCAGCTTCATGCGAGTGGGCCTCCCATTTTTCTGTCTACCAAGCTAGCCCAGGGATGGATAAGGTTTAATCCGTCTTGGACAATAGGTTGGGCTTTGGGGATATGTGACTTGCGAATCAAATTATTTTAATATCCAAAAGGGTTTCCAGTGTTGTCTTTTGTCTTACCTAGGGCTAATGTCACTACAAAATGTGGCCTTTTTGTCAACACGTGGGGACACTGTCACTCATGACTTTAATATAAGGAGAATTGTTTCATTCGGGCTGGACCTCATTTCTATAATATGCGGTCCAGAGGTATAAAGCATCCATCGTAAGATGGATGCAGATACGTGATCCATTTAAAAACAATTATAACTAACGGTTCAAATGTTTTCTTGATATAATTAGGACGCGATTACTATGCGGCCAACCCACATATTATAAAAATGCGGGCTTGGCAATAAATATATTTTCTAAATATAATTTGATCCTAATTTTTAAAGGATATAAAATCTTTAACATGGAGATGATGAATATGAAAAAAAAAATTGAAAACTAGAAATAATAATTATATTACTAAAACATTTGGACCGTTAGTTACACTTGTTTTTAGATGGACCACCGATTTGCATCCATCGTTAAGATGGATGCTTTATTCATCTGGACCGCAAATTGTAGAAATGCATTCCTACCTGTAT